TCTAAACTGTCTGATCCAAAGGCTACATTGCTAGCAAAAATGATTACTCAGTATTTACTAAGTCTTCTGGTGATTCTTTGGTCATATTGGTGGTCTATATTGATGATATCCTCTTAGCTGGTGCTGATATTGCTGAAATGACAACATTGAAACAGTTTTTGGATGACCAATTCAAGATCAAAGACGGGGGTTGGTCCACTATTTTCTGGGCCTCGAAGTCTCTTCTTACCCTGATGGTTATGTCATGCATCAATACAAGTATACTTCAGATTTATTAGATGAATTCAACTGTTCTCATTTATCTCCTGTTGCCACTCCTCTAGATCCCTCAATCAAATTGTCTATTGATCATGGTGATCTCCTTCCAGATCCCAGCCTTTACAGAAGATTAGTTGGGAAGTTAAATTTTTTGCAACACACCAGGCCTGACATTGCCTATTCTGTCCAGCATTTAAGTTAGTTCTTACAATCTCCCAGGGTCCCTCATATGCTAGCTGGATTACATGTTTTGAGATACTTAATGCCTGCCCCAACTCAAGAAATTTTGTTGAGTAATTCACCTGATCTATCTCTTATTGCCTTTGCTGATTCTGACTAGGCTACACGTGCTTTTTCTAGGAGGTCAGTTACAGGTATTTAATTACTCTTGGTGGATGCCCTATATCTTGGAAAAGCAAGAAACAACCTACTATCTCTCTCTCCTCTGCAGAAGCTGAGTATAGGGCCTTGAGGCAGGTGGTGGCTGAGATATCTTGGCTGGTTCGACTCCTCAATGACCTTGCCCTTTCTATTACTACCCATGTCCCTATATTTTGTGACAGCCAAGTTGCCTTACACGTTGCAAAGAACCCGGTTTTTTATGAGCGCACAAAGCATATAGAGGTGGACTGTCACTATGTTCACGACTACTTATCTTCTGGGCTGGTGTCTCTCCAATTTGTTCACAGTTCTGACCAACTGGCAGACATCATGACCAAGGCCTTATATGGCCCCCTTCACCACACGATTTTGGGCAAGCTTGGGGTGTTTCCACCCTCCAGCTTGGGGGGGGGGGGGGTTAACCATAGCCCAACTCNCCATGTATTACTTAATTAGTTATTTGTATATAAATGAAGAGAACACTCTAGAATAACAGAGACTCATTTTGAAAATGTAAATTAGACAAGGTGGGTTGCTCTGATGGTAAGCACCCTCCACTTCCAACCAAGAGGTTGTGAGTTCGAGTCACCCCAAGAGCAAGGTGGGGAGTTCTTGGAGGGAAGGATGCCAATGGTCATTTGGAAACAGCCTCTCTATCACAGGGTAGGGGTAAGGTTTGTGTACACACTATCCTCCACAAACCCCACTAGTGGGATTATACTGGGTTGTTGTTGTTGTAAATTCTGAGAGTAATAAATGAGTCGGATTTCTTCTCTCCTAAATTCTAGGGTTTTCACTGTCAATTTCTCCTTGTATAGCTCAACTTCTCAACTTAACAGCACATTGTAACTCAAAAGTCACTCAGCACTTTTAGGGCATTTTAAATAGTATTTTTCATATTTTTTTTATGTCCAGTCATTTAAAAAATTAAAATTACCCATTTAAACCGTCACTCAACCTGTTCCATGACTCGATCTACTTTCTCTTATTTTGTATAATAAAAAACGTAAATATTACTTTGCTATAATGTATCATTTTGGTTCTCAATATAGTTATATTGAATGTATACATTGGTTTAAGCAAAGTATTATATAGAGAATAATAAATTAATCTTAAAAAACTAGAGGCGTTAAATTTGAAGTGAAACAAGAAAATTAGTAGCGTTGGAGTGGAAGAAAATAAAAAGGTTGAAGAAAAAATGTAAAAAATTATTTATGCTTGAAATTTTGACTTATAGTAAAGATAATGCTACCATAAGATTATTTCTAATCCAACTTATTTAATATTTTATTTAAACCAATGTATACATTCAATATAACTATTGTATAGTAATATTTATATTTTTGTATAAAAAATAGAAAAAATAGCTTGGACCATAGAGCGGATTGAGTCTGTTTAAATGGATGTTTTTGATTTTTTAAATGATTCAGTTAAAAAGAAATATGAAAAATAATGTTTAATATGCCGTAAAAGTGTTGAGTGACTTTTGAGTTACAATATGCAAAGTATAATGACTTTGCGATTACAAAACAAAGTAAAGTGACTTTCATAAATAATTTTCTTTAGTCTAGTAACCTTAGGAGAAATGGACTCTAGAGAGAAGTGAACATGTAATGTAATTTCTAGGATTTGCCTAGTTTTATAAAGAGCTTCACCTCCTCAAAGTAAAGTACGATATTAATATTTAACCTAAAACGTATCATACTCTCTTTTCAGAGTCCCAAAGGGATTAGGAAGATTCCGTAAGGACGATCAATTAATAGAAGGGTAAAAAGATTTTTTGATTAAAGTTATATAGAGAAATTTTTTAGTTGGAATACTATTTTTATTAGGTTATATGTTTTATCATAAATTTTTTACATATAATTATTCGAAAATCAATTAAAATAGGCTGTATGACAATTAGGATATAAATCCTTGTTTAGAATATAAATCTTTAGCATTTTGATAAAATAACTGTGTGCACAATGACTCGAACAAATGGAAAGAAATCTAGATGATGATTTGTTTTGCCGCCTCAGAAATTTGAATCTTGGTTACCTAGTTGTCATACAGCCTATTTTAATTGATTTTCGAATAATTATATGTAAAAAATTTATGATAAAACATATAACCTAATAAAAATAGTATTCCAACTAAAAAATTTCTCTATATAACTTTAATCAANTTTTTTCTCTATATAACTTTAATCCAAAAATATTTTTACCCTTCTATTAATTGATCGTCCTTACGAAATCTTCCTAATCCCTTTGGTACTCTGAAAAGAGGACATGAGACGTTTTAGGTTAAATATTTGATGCCTCCTTATTTATAGACTCAGAAAACAGAAAGAACAAATCAAGGTGGGTAACGCTATTGAGATATTCATAGCAGAGCAACACAACGCAACAGAATCTTATATATGGACCTGAATGAAGATTTAGTTGTGGAGATCATCTCCCACTTGCCTTTGAAGTTTGCAATTCAATGTAAAGTTCTATGCAAGAACTTTAATACTAGGATTTCTGATCCTAAATTTTCTCAAACGTGGTTGTTCCAACATCAAAAGATCATCTCTATACTCATCTATTCATCAGACAGAGTATCCAAGAACTTCCATAAAATTTCCATAAACTCTATCCGGGCCAATCATTATAAGACGACTTTACCTGTTCAGGTTGAGGTTTTAGCCTCATGCAAGGGTCTACTTCTCCTTAACTTTCATCAAGTTCGGAGTTTCTGCGTTTTCAATCCTATAACTGGGGCACACCAATTGATTCCACACCCAAAGTCCAAAAAATATAAGCATACAATTGGTGATACAGGCTTTGTTGTTGACTATCCTACTTCAGATCAATATAAGTTGGTAAGAGTTGGGAAACTGGCTAAAGAAGAAGGGTATAGATTTCAGGTATTTTCATCGGAGGGATCAGGCGGCGTGTGGCATGAATTCCGATCAAGAATGAAGTTAAAATTGGGCAATACTTTCAGCTATTTGGTTGCCGGTAGTAGACCTGTTTACGTGCATGATTCCTTGCATTGGCTCACATGTGACCGTCGTATTCTTGCCTTTAATACAAAGAGAAAAGAGGCTATAATTCTTAACTTCCCTGACTTCATCAACCATACTCATGATTTCATTTACGATAAATGGTTAGGGGTGGTGCAAGTTTTACTTACCCTTATTTGCACCTTCGAGGAATTTGTAGTCATTTCTGCTTACGATTACCTAAGCAATAATTGGAGAGTTTCTCACACTGTGGCCAACTTCATTACGGGTTTGGACGGCTATAATTATTGTTTTCCAGTCTGTTTCGACAGTAAACAAGTGCTTTTCCTTGTAAATCGTATCTTGGAACAATATGATGAACAATATGATGAACTGTACGAGTATGATTCTAAGATGAATGAGTATAAAATAGCTGCAGTTTTGGATAAAGGCAATGCAATTAGTTCTTTGCCATATACATTCGAACCAACATTAGCCAGTGTTCATAAGACGCTCTCTGATACAGTCACTGCTAAACATCTCTCAACTATTACTGCAACGTTAGATGAGTTCAGAAGATTTATTACTGACAGTTAGTAGTTTCTTTCAATTCAATTTTTGTAGTATTTTATTAGTTCTTGCTATATGTCATAAAGGAAATTGAAGGTCAGGGATTAACTATTGGTACTATTCCTTTCAAGTTGAATGTCTTTTATTTCTAAAAGAATTTTTTCCGTACCATCTGAACTGATACAATCAACATGTTCATGGAAGTATTGCGTGCCTTTTTTGTGGTGTCAGTTGTCACTTTAGAGTTCGAATAATGAGTATTGCATACAATTAATGTTAAATTTAGAGTTCAGACAAAATGAGCCAAAGCAAGAGAGATATACAATCTTTTTTTTGTTATGGGCTTTCCACTTCCGCTCCTAAAAGCTTTCATTATGTTAAGGGGATTCATGAGTTTATATACTAATTAAACATTAAATCTTTTTGGCCTACTTGCACAGTATAATTTTACGATGAAAAGCATTCAATTGAATGACACACACTCATCCTGACAAAGTAGACTAGTATGAACCTCCTTTCGTCTTTTTGTATTTTGTTGAAGGTTTTGGCATCACATTTAGAAATCTATTTGATTGCATTACTTAAATAAGGGTATATAACTAAATTGCCTTAACTTTGAGTAATAATGACTATAGATTTGCCTTGTTGGAGTAATTAGGGTGGAATTGAAAAAAAGTCCGTACCAGCTTGCCTGTCAAAACAACCATTCATGTTATACAGGAAGTGACGGGAGACTATAAATAGGGGAATGAAGGGACTAATAATTTTTGCAACAGAAATAAATGATGCATAGCAGTCTTAGAATATTAGAAAAGACAAGCAATTAATAAACAAGCCAAGAGAAGCCTTGAAAATTAATAGGCACCATTTTTTGGAGAATCACTTATTTATCTTGCTCGCTATATGAGTTCATTATCAACCGAGTGGGGGGGATTGAGCAATCACCGGCCACTCGTCCATTTACTCAATTTCAAGACGCAGTTTGAGCAGTATATGACCATCAATGGTAAACTTCAGCTAAAAGCTGAAAAAGCCTTCCAAGAGAAAATGAGATTGTATAGTTCCCAAATCACTCTCAAAATAGAGCAAAGTGACTGATCATGCTGTTGTCAAAATCCTGATAAAATAGAAGAAAAAAGAAAAGTTGTTCTTAATTTGCCATTATACAATTCTACAGATGATTTTTCTCAACATACATATATAACTGAAAAAATGGGTCCTTATAAGGTAGTCTAGTAACATGCATATATCAAATCCATATGCCGACTAATCCTTATAACCAAAGAATTATTCAGAGCAATGTATAAACTGTGAAAAACGTAGAGCTTAATGTCACACTTAGCTATCACAAAATTGCAGGCCTACTTTACTTTGGACAAAGAAGCAGTGCTGGTAGTTACGAGCCCTGGATGATATAGTTGATACTAGAAAATGATAGTCATTTTAATGGATGTTCGAATTTGACATGGGAAGAAATTTCTGTATAAACATTGCATGGTATTTGCTTCTCAGACTGATGAAGAGCAGTAGTACTGTCAAATTCCAAACAAAAGAAAAGTACCTATTTTTCTCATCTAACATCACAATTAATCTTGACCTGAAGATGATTCCTCGGCTTTATAGTGGCAATATAAGCCCCACACTGCTCAACAAGATATAACAAAAGGAAAAGAATTAACAAACAAGCCAATAGAAGTGACCAAAAATAAAAAGATGCTGAGGTAAAAAAGAGAAAGAATAACTTACATTTATCAGAGCACCACTCGTTATAATCATTACATTACAGATATTCCTCGTCGATTTTTATGGTGGGAATTTGAGCAATATTTGGCCAGTAATCCTCCTCCTCAAATTCTAGACTTGGTTTGAGCAATGGGCAGTTGCGAATCCATAGTGCAGAGATGGAAGAGGGCATCCCTTTTACTGGAAGAGATTGGAGTTTAGGGCAATCATCGATGACCAGCTTAGAGAGGGAGGAGGGCAGCGCTGATTCTGGAAGAGGTTGGAGATTATTACCGCAACGACAGATAGGCAGCAGAGAGAGGAAGGAAGGCTTTCTTTTCACTTGAAGAGATTGGAGATTACGGCAATTCAAGATGGTCAGCTCAGATAGGGAGGAGGGCAGCGCTGATTCTGGAATAGATTTGAGTTGATCGCAGTGGTAAAGATATAGACGTTGAAGCGAGGTGAGGCGTCGAAAACCTTCGGTAGGTAGTGAATGGAGCTCGTCATGGTCATTTAATCTAAGCTCAGAAAGAGATGAGGGAAGCCCTTCTTCCAACAATGACTGAATTTGAGGTAAATTCACAGTAGATAGATATTCAAGAGAGGTGAGGCTTTTGAGAACTTGGCTGCTTAATGTTTTCATATTGTCCATCCAAAGAGTTCGAATAGAGCAAGGCAACTCCCAATTTTCATCAGCAGGAATCTCTTCGTCACTACCATCATGGTCTATGCGTAACTCTCTGAGATAGGGGAATCTCTGTAAACTCCACTCCTTTCGCCCATTCACCAGTTTCTTGCAATAGAAGATCTCAAGGACTTCTAAACTGAAGGGCAATCCTCCTTCAGGAAAGGACTCTATTTCTGGACAACTAATCAGTTTCAGTTCCTTAAGAGATGGAAGGAGTTCCTGCATATGTTCTGGCAGCGACTTAAGCTTCTCGCAGTTGCTAATATTCAAAGTACGCAATGACAACGTTTGAGCCATCGAAAGTATTTCAAGATTCTCACAGTTAAAAATTATGAGATCTTCAGTCCCGTTGGGAACCAGAAACTTTGTAAGGCGGGGGCAACTAAATACACTCAAATAGCGTGCTTGTGTGACCAACTCATTTATAGAATCACATCCTATCAGTTGCAATCTTTCCAGAAACATGTTACTTCCTATAGAAATTATATCACCAACTGATGACTCCAATTTCAATTTCCCACAATAATATATCTTTATTTCCTTCAAGGTATTTGGCATACTGCTAAAAGGCAAGGAGGTAAGAGACTGACAATTGTAAATATCTAATTCAACTATCTGTTTCATTTCCTGAAGTTGAGACAAAAACAGTTCAGCATCATCAAAAAGAACTCCAACCTTAGGAGAACCTATAACTTTAAACTTTTTTAGACTTGAAAGTTGGATAGGTGCCTCCAGATTGAGTTCAGGACAATTTAAAATTGTCAAACTTGTCAGAGAACAAAGATTTTCATGCAACCTTCCAATCAACTTGGGGCAATTTTTAATTGAAAGATTCTCAAGTATAGGAAACTCTCCAATCCCTAGTACATGCCACTGCTTCCACTCCAACATCTCTGCAAATTCAAGTCGCTCTAGAGAGTTAAAAGGCTTTTTGGAGGACGAATTACCATAGAATTCGTCAGTCACATCTGTTATTCGACACATCCCTCGAATTGCAAGGAATTTTAAAGAAGGAAGTTGTCCTAATGCTGGCAAGGAATAACAGTCCTCGCAGTTGCTTAGAGACAATTCCACCAGCTTAGAAAATGAATAATCAGCTAGCCAATTTGGAAAGTTTGTCCGTCTATATCCAGTGATCTTGAGTTCTTTAATATTTAGATTTGGATGTAGCTCATCAAGTATGTCTCTTTCATTTTCTGTTCTGTCCGCAATACTTACACTCCACTCCAATGATAACTTTTCAATATGTTCCTTTCCTCTCATGTTTGCCTTCAAAGCTTCCCTTCTATCCGCCACATTTTCCAACTGTCGAATTGATAGAGATCCATACAAGTTATGTAGTTCACCCAAATCTTCCATTCTCGAACCACTGCTACCACCAAGAAAAAATTCAACTCCCAATAACACACGGATCCTTTTCAACTTGCTCAGATGTTGCGGCTTCTTCAAGCAAGGAGTACCGCTAATATCAAGGTGGCGCAAATTGATCAATTTTGGCATTTGCATCGGTAACTCCACAAGATTTTGACAACATGACAAGAGAAGTGTCTCTAAGTTATAGAGTACACAAATTGAATCTGGTAACTGCTTTATCAATGTCCGAGAAAGGTCCAAAAATCTTAGGAGTTTTATTTTGATGAACAAGTCATTCGGCAACTCTTTGATGTCATAACCAGACAATGAGAGTGCCCTTAAGGATGTTAGTCTTGACAATATATTATGCAACACCCTCTTGCTTAAATGAAATGTCCCATAGAGCTTGATATTGATAGGAAGCAATGTCCTCAGCTGGTCCAATTTGTCGAGGGGTTTCAATTTCTCAAAGTCACCACCATATCCCATTGAATATGATAGGTGTCGACATCTTCCCAACATACCAGATCCTTTGTTATCTTCCAAATTGATGCAAAGTTTTGAAGATGTAACTTGCGCCAAATCATTGACAAGGTCATGCATTAAGAATTTCTCGGTGTTCCCTTGAGAAGACCTTGGGACCCTTTCAAACAATGATCTTGATCGCAACTCGAGAAAGTATTGGTTGCCTAAATCTTCAATTGTTTCATTATTTTGCAACCCCTGTACTAGACCATTAGCAATCCACAACTGAATGACTTGTTTTTTCCGAAATGGATAATCTTTCGGAAATATTGCACAGTAGGAAAAGCATTGCTTCAAATGCACAGGGAGATCATTGTAGCTCAACATCAATTCTGGTAATATGATTTTGTCTGGCAGTTCCCATATTTCACTTCTCAAAATGCGTCTCCACTCTTCAATCTTTGATTTGGACCGTAACAAACCAGCAAGTGTCTTTAGTGCTAAAGGCAAACCTTTGCACTTTTTTGCAATTTGTTTTCCTACCTCTTCAAGTTCTGGATGTTCCTTGGGATCTCTATTTTCAAATGCATGTCTTTTGAATAAAGGCCAAGAGAATTCGCTAGAAAGAATCTCCATGATAATTGGCCGACTAACCATCATCTCGGCAACACTCTCCTTACGTGTCGTCACAATGATCTTACTTCCAATTTCTCCTTGTGCAAAAGGAATTCTCAAGTCATCCCACTCGGTGTACTTGTCATTCCAAATATCATCTAAAACAATAAGAAACTTTTTTCCTTTTAAGCTTTCCTTCAATTTGATTTGAAGCTGATTAAGATTGTTATCAACCATTAAGTTGGATGAACCAATTTCTTGAAGTAATCCTTTTGTTATTCTAGAAGCATCATATGGTTCAGACACACAGAACCAAGCTTTCAAATCAAAATGGACTTTCACCTTCTCATTATTGTAAACAGCTTTAGCAAGTGTTGTCTTGCCAACCCCCGCCTTTCCAACAATAGGAATTACACTATACTTTTTTCCATCGGCATCAACAGACAATAAACGGTCAACCAAAGTCTCTATTTCATTCTGCCTACCAAAGATATCAGATTCATCAACCAAAGATGTTGAAGGTACTCTAGATTCTTGTTTAACAGAAACAAGATAGTCCTTTAGGCCAAGCCTACCAATTTGCTTTTCCAACTCCTCCAATGTTTCAGTGGTGCCTTCCAACTTCTCCTTTATGTTAAGAAAAAATCCATCACTCAAGGACAAGTTGAGGTTACTTACTTGCTGCTTGCTTGTTTCTGCATGATTTTGATGCTGACTTTCCACCTTAACTCTCAGAACTTCATAATTGATTTTTTCCATTAAGTTTTCAGCATTGTCCACAACATCCCGAAGTTCATTAAGCCACTGACTCACGTCTGGATTTGATGCCTGCTTATTCTCTGCATCACTTAGCACAGCCCGGAAACCACACAAAGTCCTCCTTAGCTTCTCTAAGAGATGAAAATCATGCTTTTGCCTCTGAAACATCTTGAGCAGCTCACCCTGAGGAGCAAGCCTTTCAAAGAGAACATTCAAAGCTGAAGATAGAAATGCACCTCCAACTGCTAAGCCAATCTCCATTTCTGAAAGCTGCAAAGCCAAACAGGCAACCACAAAATAATCAAGAATTTGGAGAAGATTAATGTTTCTATCTTAAAATAGTCTTAGTTTTACCTGTTCAATGCTAAAAGTAATATGAACAAGAATGCTCAGACTATATGCTAGCTGAGTCCGTGCTTTAGCAAAAGTAACTAAAAGTAATTGTGCTCTTTCTTTCTTTTAAAAAAGCAAGACTTCATAATGAATTAACTATTCATGGAATAATTGAATAACAGCAAGCACCTCCACTTTTAGTCAAGAAGTTATGAGTTCGTCATCCAAGAGCAAGGTGGGGAGTTTTTGAAGGGAGGGAGCCGAGGGTCTATCGGAAACATCCTCTCTACCCCAGGATAGGGGTAAGGTCTGCGTACACACTACCCTCCCCATACCCTGGGATTATACTGGGTTGTTATTGTTGTATTGTTGTTATTGTTGTATTCATTGAATAATTGAGGCAAGAGAGGACAGGCTAATTGGGAGTGTAGAAAGGGACATGGTATTGGTGGGGCACTGAAATGATATAAATTGCTGTGGTGTGCCTTTTGCTTATATCATGAAAAATGTAAAAGAAATTGTGGAAATAATTAATGGTGCTCTAACTACTAATAGTGTAGTCACTATCTTTAAAAACAAATTATCAAATCGTATGTTATAACTAAGTGTTATTAGTGACAGAATTTCAGAATAATTTGACAAAATCAATTGAAAAAGACAGCTAAATCTTGGAATTCCTTAATATCATGTTTTAGAAAGTACTAGAGCTTGAGAACAGAAGAAGCACATTAGCAGTTCTAGTATGAACCTTTTTGCAGATAAGAGATTAAATAATCTTAGATGTATTAAACAAATATTACTTTATCTTGAAATAATCTTTACGTAAAACATTATTTTACGTATTAATTTTTAGATAATATAAAGAAATATGGTATATTATTAATTGTGTGTTATAGGCATAATTTACGTTGCGTGGACGCTACAAAAAATTATTTTACTCACGTTGAATCCTCCAAAAATTAATCCAGTATTTGGTTTACTAATGTGATTATCGGTTAATGTGACATATAAAAAGGACAAGGAGTAAGATTTATCATCTTGTTAAACTTTCAAGTATAATAAAGTTTTTATTTAAGAAAAGATTCAGTTCCTGATACATGTTTTTGGATTAAGCTCACCTTTCTCTATATAACTTAAATCCTATAATTATTTTACCCTCTATTAATTGATTGTTCTTACGTATTTTCCTAATCAGAAAAACGTACATCAATAAAAATAAAGAGACATTTTAGGTTAAATATTTTATGCCTCCTTAGACTAAAAAACGAAAAGAAGAAACCAATGACATGAGAAACGGCTATATGGAACTGTATGATGATTTAGTTGTGGAGATCATCTCACACTTGCCTTTGAAGCTTGCAGTTCAATGTAAAGTTCTAAGCAAGAATTTTAATACTGGGATTTCTGATCCTAAATTTTCTCAAACGTAGTTGTTCCTACATCAAAAGATCTGATCTACACTACTCCTCTATTCAACACACAAATAGAGGAGTGTATAATTTGGGATACTGGCTGAAGAAGAAGGGTATAATTTTCATGTATTTTCATCGGAGGGATCAGGCGGTGTGTGGCATGAATTCCAATAGAGAATAAAGTTAGGCAATACTTTCAGCTATTTGGTCGCTAGTAGTAGATCTGTTTACGTGCATGTATTCCTTGCATTGGCTCAGATGTGACAATTGTGTTCTTGCCTTTGATACAAAAAGAAAAGAGGCTATAATTCTTAACGTCCCTGAGTACTTCATCAATCATATTGATAGCCACATGTACGCTAAATGGTTAGGGGCGGCACAAGGTTTCAAAAATCCATATTCATTGCTGTTTATGATTACATAATTAGCAACAATTGGAGAGTTTCGCACAGTGTGGCCAACTTCAATATTACGGTTTTGTACGGGTATAGTTATGGTTTTCCGGTCTGGATCGACAGCAAACTAGTGTTTTTTTCTTGTACAACATACCTTGGAACAACATGATGACCGGTACTAGTATGATCCTAAGATAAATGGGTATAGAATTGTTGCAGATTTGGACAAAGTGTAAACAGTCGAAATCGAGCTCGCTTACGACACGGTAGCTTAGGCTCGGAACATGACAACCAAGGGCTGGAAATCGACCTCGAGTCCCACCAAGTCTGAATCCGGGGTCAGAACACCTGCCTTCGAGAACATTGAGTTTGAGACCCCGGAGTCGATCCTAGTCCCGAACGAGCTCGAAGTAACATTGTTAGCATAACCAACAGAAGACCGAAATATCCGTCACCGGTCGGATATTGTGGCGGGAATCTCGGCGCGTATCAGTAAGGAACCGACAATCAGCTAATCGAGAGATTTTTACCTTTTATAGAATTGTACCTAAANGTGATTATCATTTTCTTTAAGCTCTCATTTCTTCTGTCTTGATATCGATCGAAGTACCTGGCTCGAGGGTGATTAATTCTCCAAGGCTATGACCGTTCAATTCGTGTGGTTTGCATTTACTTTTCCATTATTTATTTTAATTGCAATCTAATTTATCGTTTTGTATCAAGTTAGATCACGTATCCTTAAAACCACTTACAAATTCAATTGTTATCCGATTTTGAGGGTAAAAAGTTTGGCACCCACCGTGGAGCTAAGGATAATAGTGGTTATTTGATACAAATCTCTATAACACACACTGCTTTACACTTGTTCTTTGAAGTGTCCCTAATTTCAGGTTAAAACACAAAATGTCAAACTCTCAATCAGCACCTATATATGTTGACAACAAGTCTGGTCATCCCGGTGAAAATAACAATATAGCACCCGGTGACAAGGTACCGCCCGTTAATCCCATCGGAATTCCGATCGCATACCTAATTGATGCTAATTCACATATGGCTATCGACACCTACCGATCCCGAGAATAGTGTCCGTGGTGGAGCTCGATCAGCGGCTCAAAATACACAAAATGTTGGTGGAGACGGGATCGGTTTAAGGGTGATCTTCGAAATGTTGCAGGCCCAACAGGCGGTGATAGCTCAGTTACAGAACCAGAGCCGCGCACCGAGCAGAGTTGAGCCCGATCTACCACGGGTGGTCACCTGTAGGGATGAACCGGTCGTAGAGAGGTCGAATGAAAACGAATTGGGGACTAACCCCGAGATCATAAAAATGCTCGAGGAACTGACAAAACGAGTAGAATCAGGGGAGAAGAAAATCGAAGCTAATAACAAAAAGGTGAAAACCTACAATTTCAGGGTAGACAAAATCTCAGGAGCGCCGCCAATATTGAAAAGCATGGATTCCAAGAAGTTCGTGCAAAAACCTTTCCTTCCGAGCGCGGCGAAGCCGACCTAAGAAATTCTGCATGCCTGAGATACCCAAGTATAACGGAACGACCGACCCAAATGAGCATGTAACCTCTTATACATGTGCCATCAAAGGGAACGATTTGGAGGATGATGAGATCGAGTCTGTCCTGCTGAAGAAGTTCGGAGAGAACCTGTCAAAGGGAGCTCTGATATGGTATCACAACTTACCTCCTACTTATATTGACTCATTTGCTATGCTTGCAGATTCTTTTGTAAAAGCATACGCCGGGGCCATTAAGGCCGAGACCAGGAAGTCAGACCTTTTCAAAGTAAAACAGAAGGATAACAAGATGCTCAAAGATTTCGTATCCCGGTTTCAAATGGAACGGATGGACCTGCCACTGGTCACTGATGATTGGGTCGTTCAGTCTTTCACCCAAGGACTCAATATTCAAAGATCGGTGGCTTCACAGCAGTTGAAACAAAACCTAATAGAATATACGGACGTTACTTGGGCCGACGTGCATAACCGGTTTCAATAAAAAATCAGGGTCAAAGATGATCAGTTTAGGGCCCCTTTCGGGTCCGTGTATCCAGTCAGAGCCATCGACATAGTCAAGAGAGACATCGATCGTGAGCCGAGACCAAACAGGTATCAGTATTAACCGTATAATGGAGGAACAAAAAAGCAGCGGGTCTAGGTGAAACTCTATGAGGAATGAAAGGGGAAGTGATCGAGGTCAGAGCAACCGGGGACTCATGAGCAAAAACAACTTCAACTGGCCCGTCGGGCTTAAAGAAGCACCGAGGTTATCGGAATACAACTTTAACATCGATGCTGTCACCATGTGTCAGCCATTGGACGCATCAAGGACACCAAATGACCTCGGCCTCTACAATCCGATCCGTCCCAAAGGGATCCTAACAAGGTGTGTAAATATCATGGCACACACGGCCACAGAGCGGAGGATTGCCCATAATTGAGAGAGGAAGTAGCTCGATTATTCAACAACGGGCATCTGCGAGAATTCCTGAGCGACCGAGCCAAGAACCATTTCAGGAATAGGGATTCTAACAAGCAGGTCGAACAAGAAGAACCTCAACACTTCATTAACATGCTCATCGGTGGGGTCGATGTCCCTCAGAGGCCGATGATGAAGCACCAAAGTATCCATCATGAGGGAAAAACAGACTCGGAATTAAAAGCTAGAAGAGACCTTGTCTTTCAATGATGAGGATGCAGAATGGATCGTGAAACCCTATAATGATGCACTGGTAATATATGTACTCGTAAATAAAATTCGAGTTAAGCGTGTATTATTTGATCCAGGTAGCTCGGCCAACATCATCTGATCGAGGGTCGTGGAGCAGCTCGGTATACAAGAGCAAATTGTGCCTGCAGTCCTAGTTCTAAACGGATTAAACATGATATGTGAAACCCCTAAGGGTGAGATAACATTACCGGTGAACACCGCCGGAACCATCCAGGAAGCTAAGTTTTATGTGATCGAAGAAGACATGAGGTACAACGCTTTGTTTGGGAGGCCGTGGATTCACAACATGAGAGCAGTGCCCTCGATACTGCACCAGGTGCTGAAATTCCCAACACCTGGCGAAGTCAAAATAGTCTATAGGGAACAACCGGCCGCCAAGGAAATATTCGCGGTTGATGAAGTGATACCGGCATACTCAATCTCAACTGAGATATACCTGAACCAGATGGTAAAAAACGGGGCCAAATAGCAATCACTAATACCAGCCTCGGCAGAATCAGAGGAACAAGGGGTAGACGAGGATGATGATTACGGGGTCCCCAAATCTTTTATAGCCCTTGATGATTCCAATTCCACTAAATCAACGGTCGAGGAGCTGAAACAAGTCGTATTGAGTGAACACTTGCCCGATCGAAAG